GGCCTCGCCCCAAGCCTTGAACGCCAAGCAGACTGCAGCCAACTCGAGCAAGAAGATGCACTTAGACTCTAGGTCTATTCCCACCTCAGCAAGCTCAGCTGAGCTAGGGAAGTACGAGAAGAACCTCAGGGGCTCTCCAGTGGGTCCGCACAGGACTCCGCCTATTCCCGCGACGTTTCCTTCCTTAGTCGGTTCCAGGGACGCGTCAGTGTATATAAAGACGCAGGGCCTCTGACCCAGGAGAATCGTCCTCGCTGGGGCGAACTGAGCGATGTCAATGTACATCCGAAGTGCTGCGGAGATGCTTCCGTCAATTGCGGTAGAGTTCCGTTCCAAAACGGAGTAGAATACTTTAAGACAGGACTTCGGGAGTCGACCGAAGATTTGCCCTCCGGCGAAACTCATTCGCCCCGCCATGTGCCTGGCCTCGGATCTCGATATTCTTCCCCTGTCGAGAATGTTTGAGAGCTCGCTCACGAGCTCACTGATTCTTGCCTCAGTGTTGCTGATGAGTAGCGATCCCTTGGTGAGATGTCTCAGGTTGACGCTGACTCCTAGAGCGTGTAGTGTCCTACCGAAGACCGTGTTTTTCTCGCCAGAGGTGTCATACACCCATCCAAGGATATCGAAGAGGGACCTTGCAGCCAGGTCCGAGCTCTTCTCCAGGGCGGGCTCCGAAAACAGGCAAAGTCGTCAAAGAAAACCGTCCACATGAGACTGAGGGCCACGACTCCTAGGGTCCACAGTGCCCTGCTCATCCTGTTGAAGGCGTATACACTCTGAGTGGCCCCGAAGGGCAGGGCCAGCGATGTAAAGACCTTGGGGCAGCCAGACGGGTCCTTGATGACTAGTCCCGCCCTGTCTCTGGAGCTCGCCGACACTGCCATCTGCTTGAAGGCCCACTTAAGATCGAAGCTCTTAGCGGTCAAGTCGCGAGGCCTCTGCGCGGCGTCTCTGGCGTCGCACCACTCAACCACAGCGGAAGCCATGACATCTACGGAATGAAGAGATATCCTTTCCTCCGCGAAGGTGGTAGCGTTTATCAAACTAGCCGACATATCGTCGACGCACCGTACCTTGTCCCTCTGCTTAACCCCAAAGCGATTAGACACGACCGAGGGCGCATCGGCATCATCAGGCTCCATGGGTCCCTTGAGCCATCCCCTCGAAACTTCCGTTATGGTCTTCTCCCACACTTCCTTGGATAGGCCCTCCGCGGCTCCAAGAGCCCTTGAGAGCGCTGCATCCTTGAGGACCGGAGCAAGAGCTTCGAGCTCGCTCTCATGGATCGTGGCCGGGGTGTACCTCTTGGGCAGGTCGTTCGACATCGGAATTTCGCCCGTAAGGTCAACACCTTCTTCCAAGAGTTTGTGTGCTTCAGCATCGTTCAGCTCGTATGCGTTCACCATCTCCTTGAAGAGCAGGATCTTCTTGTCCTTTACTACCGACCTTACTCCCTCGTCCATCGAGTCCTTCAAGGCCTTTTCCTCTTCGTAGAGCTCCGAAGCAACCGACATCCATTTGCGGAAGAAGGACGCTCGCCTTTCCGCGACCGCCGATGGATCGTCAGCCGCAAGTTCCCAAATGGATCTTTTCAGTGGTTCAGGCACTGTCGAGATCGCGTCGGCTGGGTGTCCTCTTCCCGCCGCTTCCTTCAGGAACTCGCCGGGGCTCCAAGGCACTCCAAATGTGCAGATTGTGTCCGCTTCTGCTGGAATCGTGGAGTTCTCCCCTTCTGTTCTGGGAGAGATTTCCAGCAGACGGGAGCCTTCGGGAATGGTGACCTGCGGGGTGATCAAAGGGTGCTCGATGAAATCCTTGATGCGCCACGTACAGGAAGATCTCGGAATGAATGCCTTGAGAATCACCCGGTATTCTGGAACGAAGTTGGGTAGATTGGACTTCGTGGTACCCTCGGATGCCATTGCTCTTGAGACTTTCTCTGCCGCAAGCGGCAGTTGCGATGCCCGCAACATGTCTAGAGGTACCATGACAAAATTGTCTGCCTCGCAGGCATCCTTGACAGCATGAGCCACTTGCTTGCACAGTTTGGCCGGGTACGCCGACTCCAAAGAAGTGGAGAAGGTCTGGTCCTCATGGGACCATCCCCATGATTTGTGAGCGTGGCTGTTGTCACATTCAGCATGGAGTCTGTCCAGAGGCACTTTGCCGAAAAAGGCCAGAGCGGTGTTCTTCTTGCGATCGCTTCCATACATGCACGAATGAAATTGCACATATCTCGGATTGCACCGAGATTGCGCCTCGGTCCAGAAAGAGGTTCGCCAGAACAAGGAGGAGAAGGGGTTCTCCACCGTCCAGGGGAGTTGCTTGTCCGTGCATCTAATGCACACTTGAGTCACAAGTTTGTACAGCTCGTTTGCTTTCTTCACACGTTCTGCTTCGTGATCAAGTAGATGCGGCAGTCCGTCTGGGAAATCATCCGAACGGAGAGGTCTTGGTCCGTAGCGAGAGGTGCTCATGGCGATCTCCCTGGCCCGCGAACACGTTCCACAAGGTGGCGCCATCCACACAAAAACTAGCTGATCTGAACTTAAAATCTGGAAAACAAGGTGTTGAGAGGCCTCAAGTGAAGGGTCCAACCTTATCACCGGCCCCTTTCTAGAGGGAGAAAGAAAACTATCGATGCCAAAACTTGCTGACAGGCCGACACTCTTCATGGCGGCCGTGATGCCCGCGGTGCCCGCGAAAAGCTCGAGGGCGAAGCATGACTGGAAAACTTTCCCTCCTAAATTCAAGGAGGGATAGAGGCCCTCTGTCTGTGATGGTCAGTTCGTCTGCCGCTGCGGGCACTGGTTGTACGAGTGAGAGCCCAGGCACTTGGAGCAAATGTGCAAGCCTCGGTCGCATTCGGACTCGTTGTTCTTCCCCGCGGGGCATCCCCCGGGTAAGTTGTGCCCAAAGCAGATGGGCCTCCCAGACGTGGGGCACTTGTAGTGAAGGCCAAGCAAAAGCTTGGGCATGCGAGGAGCCTCATAGTTATCCTGCTGGTGCTTGCCCTTGCCCCTCCCTTTGCTTTTGCCCTTGGAGTTCCGGTCCTTGCCTCCCTTGCGACTAAACCACGTGTCTTGATGCGGCATGTCATACGGAGACGGCCTGTTGCCCTTCCAACCTTTGCCATTCTTGCCCTTGCCGGCCCGGTCGCCCTTCTGGTCACCTCCCTTTGGGCTGAACTGCTGCAAGGGCAGGAGTGCGAACACGACCGAGTGTACCGTGGGCAACCTGGCGAACTCGGCGTCGATAGGTCTAGTGCCGTCTGACGGTCTGATATCCTTTACCACGTCAGCCATGTGAAGCCAGGCTGCCTTGTCTGCTCGCAGGATCTGGAACATCTGAACTTTTTGGAACCGGGCCGGTTGCTCTTTGGATAGTTCTCCGAACAGCCAATCCACCCATTTCTGGTGGACGGTGAATGTGACGAGATCCGCGAACTCATATGCCAAGCCGCGCCTGCGTAGTGCCTGGTAGACCAGGAACTCGGTATTGTTCTCGATGAACAGTCCTTTGTCGTTCTCCTTGACCTTGACCTGTGAGCCCTCAATTTCCAAGAGCTTGGCCGATGACTTATTGCTCATCATTTCCTGTTCTCTGGATGCACACCTGGAGGGCGGCATGTACTTGAGTATTTTGGACTCAGCTTGATGCGAGGCCGAATCCAGCATGGCGTGCCCTGGCTCCAGACCTTTGGAAATTTCGAGACCTGGGTACTTTGCACGAAGGCTGTCGAGCCTCGCGCTGCGTTCCGCTCTCGGGACCGGCTTTGCTGTGTCGGCCGTCGCTTCAACCCTGTTCTTGAGGCTGGCGCTGATAAACACGTGGGCCTCAAACAGAAGGTTCCTGGCTGCTGACAATGTTCTCAGCGATTGCCCTACCCCGGCGATGCCTTCGAAAAAGGTGTTGAATAGGGTCTCGTCGATCGGCTGCCCCGGCTGACCGTGGGCAAAACCATAGCGATTGAGTGTCGCCAAACCGTGCCTCTTGAACGCCTGTGCCGCCGCATCCGGTATGCCAAGCTCAGCAGCGCGCTGCAGGAACTGAGCTTCGCTGTCCAGGAGTGAGGTCATGATTTGAGGCTTTAGCCAATCTCTTGATTCTTAAAAGGGGGGCTGCGGCATCACCGCAGCTGAGATTCGACTCGATAACTCACTCTCAACTACTGGAGGGGCATTTTATTCACCGCTTGAGCTTCTTGTTGATCGCTTCAATAAGGTCCGCCCTTGTGCGAATTGGAAAAGCACTCGGATCACATTGCGAGCAGGTCTCGGCTCCCTGCCCTAGTGACCTGACAGGTATCATGCTGCCGTGCCACTTCCTGCCGCACTTAAAAGTCTGGCTTGACTCGTTTGCCAGTATGTGGACCTTCCCTTTAGGATTCAGGAAAAACAAGTTGCCGGCCCCCGGCGGAGGCATGACTGCTGATTCTTGGGAAGATTGTGATTCCGACTCTGAGGAAGAGCTGTCCGAGGAATCCGACGTGCTGCCTGCACCGGATTCTTTTGGAACCTCAGCACCGCTGTTGGCTTCCTCCTCCGACACCGGGGCTGGTGCTGCCGACGGCAATGATGCTGTTTCCTGGTCTCGATCAGGAGAGGCAGGACTCCTTTCTTCTTCGTTCGAGACTACCTTCCAGGCAGACGTCGTTTCTGATGGTTCCCCACGGGAGTTAATGCCCGTCTCGATGGGCCGGCTGTCCTGGCGGGACCTGAAGAGACCGCTTCTTGTCTCATCGGGCAGGAATGTACCCGCCCGTATGGCGTTTAGAGCCATCGCGAGCTTTCGCAGAGGCCGGGATTGCATCCCCCTGGCATACACGTCGCTCGACGTAATGCTCCCCACGTGCCGACCTAGGAATTCCAAGGTGGGTTTGTCGGCCCCGAAGCGGGCCATCCATGCCAGCACCGTCTCCTTACAACTGTGAGACGTGAGATCTTCTACGTTATCCAGCTGCCTTAGTAGGTAGCGCAGCAACGACGTGAATTCGTCACTCTCGAGGCTGCGCTCAGAGAAGGAGTCGTCAGAAAGAGGAGCGGGTAGGAATGGCCCGGGCGCAAATTCGCCGAGGACTTGCTTCCGTAAGGTTAGGAACTGCTCGGCCCAGTTCTCGTCTGTGACTCCAAAGGCTGGAGCTACGATGGGCAGGAGCCTTCTCTTTTCTCTGTTGGCTGTCTTGTGATGTTCCGTCCGGACTTCGATAAAGCCGTGCCTCCCTGTAATGTCCAGACATATCTCCTCAATGTGTCTGAGGTCGGAGCATCTGCAGCGTCCATACACGCACATGAGCATGAGTCCTGCAGCTAGCCGGTCAAAAACTCCTTCAGATGTGTTCCTGAGGATGGCGTGCAAGCGCAGTACCATGGCGACGGTAAGCGCCGGCGCCTGCTTCAATGGTCTCTTCTTGCTCGAGGCTTGCTTAGCCACTCCCTGAATCAGGAAGCTGGAAATGATGGCCGTTGCTCCCTCGGGTTCAATCGTGTAGATCATGAAGTTTACCGCCTGCAGAAAAGAGGCCGGAGCGGTTGGAGCACCAAGTGCCTTGAGGTGGTGGACATAATCGAACGACACTGCTTCCTTCATCGGCCATGCTAACCTGTCGTTCTGCGTGCACCAATAAAGGTACCTTTTCACAACCATCCCTCTAGAGTTGATGGTGGATGGGGCTTTGACCCCCATCACTGCATCGACACACGTGAAAAGCTCGGTGGCGACTTGGCCGCCGTTGTCTTCGTCCGATAGCTGGACGTGCCTGGTGATGCCGAAGTGTTGTGGAGCGACCCCTATGACGTCGCACCACAGAGAGATTCCCTTCAGTCTTGAAGCTTGTTCACTCTTGGGGAAATTCACGTTGGGGCGGTTCTTGACTGCCGACAAAGCGGATGACGCCCCCGCTCTGGGTGGCATAAGTATCTTGCCAATGGCTTCGCCCGGGTCTCGGTCCGGCTCGGAAGGCGGGGCTGTGGTTTGTAACTGAGCTTGCGGCACCACGACCGGGGGCTCAGTGGTTCCAAAAATGTCCCGCATCAAGGGGGTCTCCCAAGGCATGACTATTCTTGGCCGTTTAGCAGCCCTCAACAAGCAGCCTTGCAGGGCCTGCTCGTACTCGCGCCCTTGAAGCACGCCGCTCGGCGAACTTTGCTGGTTTTGGGGCCGGGCACTGGCCGATGCAGAGAAAAGCTCTGACTCAGCTGGCGTGAGCGCTAATGTTGCTTCGGGCCGTTCCTGCTCTGGCCACTGATCCAACTCACCTGGATCTTCCAACTCTGCTAGCCGCTCCAAATCGAGCAGCCTGTCGATTTCACTCTCTTCCGCCATGCTGCTGGGTGAGACTGACACGACACACCTGTCAGTTTCCCTAAATGCCGTAGGCTCGCTTCTTTGTGAGGCTACTCCACCTCGTGATCTAGCAAGGGCTCCTCGGCCCGTCCTGGCAATACATTCTCTTTCAGCGTGGCTCAAAACTGTGACACGGCTTGCTCGAGCAGAACGCAGGGACAAACGAGGAAATTGCACGGACAAAGGCAACACGGCAAGAGGCTCAGCAGAAAACAACTGCGACATGCGACGGCGAGTTTTGCGGATCTCCCCGCTGCGTTTTCCTCTGCTCGGAGGACTTCTAGCGAAGCTTGCTTCTTCGCGAAACGTCACAGCTCTGACTCCCAGAGCGATTTACCGCGGCACACTCTGGGCCAGTTTCGCCCTTCTGTGGGCAGTTTCTCTGGGATGCTCCCTCACTGTCTTTCCTGACACTCGATGCTTGGAACCCTTACATGACTCAAGTACGGCTTGACGTTGCTGAGGCGCGGGCGGTCTTCCTTGGGAATGCATCAAGTTTCCTAGCATCCGATGATCCGAAGGAGTATGCTCGCTTCAGTGGGTGCAATCTCCAAGCCAAGCGGCAGCTTCGGCTTCTTTTCTCGGCGGTGGTTGCGCAGTTCGTAATCATCCCGGGAGCCCCGACAACAAAATCTCCCGAGGTCGTTCGAGTCCCTCGGACTGAACTAGATGAAAAGATTTGGAGGCAACTACCGCGGCCACATGAACGCCACGGCCTTTATGGTCGCGCCCTCCGACCTGATGCACAGACTTTGGTCCGATGAGGATCGCGCCGCCCAGTCTCTTCTGCAAGCTGCATGAAGCTTGCCCACGCCTCCTTCCAAGAGTTGGACCGCGTGTGCCCTTGCGGACACCAAAATTGCGATGCCACTTCCCGAGGCCTTTGCTTTCCTCGCAACCCCTTCCAGGGCCTTCATTGCCGTGTGCGAGGAGTACTGCTCGCAGCTGCCACGGGCGAAGAACCCGTATGGCGGGTACTGGTCGGTCTGAGCTGCTTGAGGGCGGATGATCTTTTGGCTCAAAATGCCGTGAGCCGAGGACCACTTCGTGCCGTGAGCGGCCGTCAGACTCTGCGAGTGGACGGGGTCCGGGATCTGGAGCTGCTCCGGCGCGGCGATGTCGGGTTTAAGCTCCAGTTCGAGGATCGAGGCGGAGAAATGCGATCCTGAATGCTGCGCCCATTTCAACTCTTGCGGCAGCGTCCCGTCGGGGAGGGAGGCCAGGAACCGGGACACATAGTTGATCATTGCCTCCGGGAGGCGGGAGTGCTCCTTGATCCGCGCGGCCATGCGCTCGATGTCATCAGCTTCCACATTCTCCATGACTTCTTTGTAGGGGGGGCCGCGCTGATCCGCCGGGAGTTCACTGTAGGACAAAGTCCGAGTGCGGTCGGACCACGCCTCCTCCATTGCACTCTTCATGAGTGCTTCCTGCATGGAAGCTTCCTCCCTATCTTCGGCTTCTTCTTCCTGTTCGGGGAGCTTCCACTGGTAACCCTTCTCATGCGCCGTCCAAGTGTTCCAGGGCTTGCCGGAGCCTCTGGGCTGCCAAGACTTGGCTTGCCATTGTTTGTTCGAGTGCCAGCCTGGCTGCTTCCACCCGGAGCTCTGTCCGCCCCATTTGCCACTTCCAAAGGAATGGTCCTTCGTAAAGGACGGTGTGTGGTAAGACTCCCCCTTGTGGCTCGAGGGAGCGGCTTCCGCACGCTCCTTGCGCTTGTGGCGGCGGCGTTCCGGCGAAGACGAGGACGAGGAGGATTCAGAGCTGTACGAGCTCTTCTTTGCCTTGGGTGCGCGCTTCTTCGACGCCTTCTTCTTGGTGCGTCGGTCTCTTTTGGACTCTTTGCTCTTCTTGTGCTTGCGGTTCTTCTTAGCTTTTCGCCTCATGGGCATGAGCCCGTAGATCGTCGGAATCATCTCCTCACTGTCAGAGGAGTCGGAGTCGTCTCTGCGACCTCTGCCCATGCGAGTGGGGAGGTAGGGCGATGCGCCGAAGCTGAATGGCGTCACCATTGTGAGACGGAGGGTGAAACGAAGGTGAAAACTGAAAGCTCTTGAGCCGGCTCGAGTAGCATAAACATCATAGGCTTCTGCGAGGGTGCGTCTTGCTCACGCAGGAAACTCTCCCAGCCCTGCACGTCACTGCATTGGCCTCGAACACGAGTTGCCCGTGTTAGCGATCCCTCGCGGGCCAGAGTTGCTCAAGGAATGTGTCTGAAAACGACAGGAAGTGACTTCTGGGGACCGTGCCTGTTGCCTTCTCGAGAGGGGCAGTCGAGAGCGAAATGACATTTACAGCGAAGGCCGGCGCGAACCAGCATCTTCGCAGCTGCTCTCCCCGGACTGCGTTTGGGAGGCGCTTCCGGCTGGTCTCCTTCTTCTGTCGGTTCCCAAGAGGCATGGAAGACCCACCTGCCCAAGTTGGCGGGAAGCCCTTCGTGGGCTGAACCCTCCTGCTCCTGAGGGTCTCGGGCGGTGTAGCTGGAGGAGGGCAACTGCTCTGCCCGATTGTCGGCATCTTCCGGGACTGATGCCGACTTCCTCTCTTTCTTCTTTCGCTTCTTGGTCTCTTCTTTGTCACATCGCCTGCGCTCCTGTGTCGTGGAGTGTCTCTTCTTCACCTTCTTCCGCTTCTTATGCTTCTTGCGCTTGCTCTTCGGAGAATCTGCTGGTTTACTGACCGGCGCGAACGCCGAACTCCAGGACGACATGTCTTCATCCCGCTCAAAAACCTCTTCACTGTTTGCCGACATGGTGTCTGAGCTGCATACGGCTACATTTGCAGTCTACGGGTTGTTCCTGGAGCTGTCCCTGACAAACACATCTCCGCTGGGATGCCTGACAGAACTGCACAATACTCTGGAGCACTAGAAACGCACACTTTTGCTTATTCAAACTCGCGTCATCAGGGAGACCGCAGGTGTTCTCTCAGTGACCGACCCACTGCCTGTCGATTGCCTTGATGATGCAGACATACCCTGATGGTGAGTCAGGGCAGTGCGCGGCTCCAGCAGCATCTGATGAACCAGGGCAAGTAACCCTGGGCGTTGAGTGGGGTGCCAGGTTCGACTGCTTCTGCGCGATGTTCAAGAATGAGTATCCTCCTTTCGCACGCTCTAACATGCGCCTGGATGGTGGAAATTCGGCGCTCGAGCTCAGTAACATGTCTGCTGACGAGACTGAGCGTACTTGGGCTATCGCCGCTGTAATCCGAGCTGTCGATTTCCATGCGACACCGGGGACCTCGGATTCGCCTTGTGCGGCTTGATGTCAGATGGGCCACTGCGGTCACTTGGAACTCTCTGCGACGGAAGCAAGACCGCAGAGCACATACTGCAGACTCCTGCTTTTAGGCATTTCGCACGAAGATCACAGGTGATAGCGTATTCGCTACAAGCACTGGCGCTGAAAAACTAAGGTGCCTGCCGTCCTGAACCAGGTGAAAAGAACTCAACTTCGGAAAACGACCAAACAGCTCGAAGAGTCTTTGAGCAACAAGCCACTTCGCTTGATCCACAATGTCCTTGCAACTAAGCTGGATGTCGAGCGTGACGGCCGTGTTATGAGAAATACGATCATTCGCTTGTACCTGCATTCGGAAAATGTATCCGTGAGGTGTGTCCCAGGGCAGGTCTGCCTCACCTGCCTTTCTTTTCATCTGAGCACTGACATGATGCTCATACGTGTCTCCGCTTGTTGCACATGGCTTGAGGCGAGCACGGATTCCCGGGAAAGAGCTATGCCTTTTCTAACCTGTAATACTGCGCCTGCAGTGTCGGTGCGAACACTGCGTGCATTCTCTCTCTGAGGCATGAGCAGTAGGGTGGAGCTGATCGTTGGCCCCAACACCCGGTCAAGAGCGACTATGCAACGAAGCTTGCAAGGAAAAACCCTGTCTGAGACTGTCGCTTGCTTGTGGATATCCGAAGCAGAATCTCTTTGATCTGATGCCATTGCAATCACGCGCTTACACTCTTCAACGACACAAATATTGTTGTCTCGCACGCTGAGGAGACAACCGCAAACCTTCCTTCTTTGAGGACCCTTCCCGGTCCACTTGTGGGACTCTCCCCTCTCGAAAATTTCCTTTCGAAATTTTCTGCCCGGCTCCGACTTGAGCAACGTTCACATGCAGGCACATCACACATGCTCAATGCAGCAAAACGTTTCTGCCTAAACAAACACGTTCCTTGTTTGTTTTCCATGATCGTGATAAAACACTAACTCGTCCCTCGCACGTAAGCTTCATTCCACATGCACGAAGAGCCGCAGTGAACCTCCCGGCCCCTGAGCAAACCTGAATGCAAAATGCTTCAGCGATGCTGAGTTTGGCCACACGTTCAGTGGCACGTCCAAGGAAGGACACTCGCTCCTTCCCAGTCCGAAGCTCAGGGGCCCCAGGCCCTCAAGCGCCGCTTTTCTTGTGATGCTCCTGAAGAGAGTGAGGCTGCAAGCATCCCGGCTCTGCGCATAAGTGCAGCCCGCGCGAGCATGCACTCCCCGGGGCGGCGTCTCCACAGCCGCACTGCATATTAAATGCCCAGCACAAGCGTTCACCATCTTTGTTCTGGCTCCACTTTCCAATCAACTCCTTCGGCACACGCAGCCTAGCACCACCTTTCTTACCTTTCCCTGTGCCTTTGCCCTTCTTACCTGGCTTATTCCCTTTGTCATCGGCCTGCTGATCCTCGACCTTCCTTTTGAGCGGAGGCGGCGGGTGCTTAGGTTTTTCGGGAATGGCAAGCGGCAGAAGATGAAAGCTGACATGTGTGTCATCGAGAATGTTCTCGAAGGCACGGTCCAATGGACGGACCCCATCCGCGCCTGTCTTCAGGCTACGCACCTTCTCAGCGATCCTCGTGAAAGCCGCTCTGTCTGCGCGGAGTGCCTGAACCACACTAACCTTTGCGTAGTTAGGCGGCGGCGCGTCCTGGACTCGCTGGATGAGCAGGCTATGATACATGTTCATAGCATCGTAAGAGCAGCAGCCTACGAGGTCGAATGCGAGCGCCCTTCGGCGGAGCGCTTGAACCAGCTCCAGCTCTCCGTGGGTATCACATGTGGCCTGCTGCGGCTTGTCTCGCACTGTCAAGGAGCCACTCCCATCCAACGAAACCTCCTTCACCGCCTTCTTAAGCTGAAGTTCATGCTGACGCGTGGTGAATTTGTTTGGATGCTGGTACACAAGCGTGTCTTGTTGCAACATGCCGTACACCAAATTGTACGCCTCGAATGCGACCTCTTCCACTCCACGGTGCGTTAACCCTGTGAGCCGGGCCCGCTGCCTTGTGATGCGAGCTTCGCGCTCAGCAGGATTCAGTCGCTGGGATGTTGGATCATCCCCTTTTTCAACTTTCTGCTTAAGATCTGCAACAACCATCGTGTGAGCCTCAAAGATCAGTCGCTTTGTGGCAGCGACGACACCAGCGTTGATTACTCGAGTACCAAAAAGCTCGCGGACCTGATCATTGGAAGGCGTAGCCCCTGGCGGCACTGCCGCAAAAGCTAGACGGGCTAGACTGTGGATGCCGGATCCAGTGAGGGCCGCGATGTCGTCGGCAGACAATCCGACCTCGGCCGCACGATCCTCGAAGGCCGCTCGGCTCTCGGTAAGAGAGGTCATGGCACTGGCACGGCTCAAAACAGCTAAACTCGGTACTGGCACAGCGCTATCGAAAAGATGATATTCCGAAACACAGGCTCGTACGAAGGCACGCAGTTTAGGAAGCAGTGTTTCCCAACTGAACGCATATTCATCATTCCATCCTGTATTCCAGTCAAGACCTAGAAGCCATAGCAATCTTGCATGTGATGTATAAACCCTTCGGCACCGGCACATCTCGGCGCAGCCGCAGTGCACGTTCACTCGGCCCTCTTGAGCACAGGAACATGTAGGCGCGCTCAAGTTGGTGGTAAGTCTTGCGGCCGGCACGTCTCGGCCACGTAGTCCCATCGGTCACTTACTCGATGGAGGCTGTGAACATGCAACATCGACTCTCCACAAACAGACATTCACTTTGCAAACCACAAGTCGTCTGCCCTGTATTTTCTCAGGCGATGCCTTTCAAGTGCACCTTCACAAACTCTCTGCAGCCGACTTTCGCTGCATCATAGCGTTAACGGCCTCGGCCAATGCTCCTGGATCGCGGAGCGGCTTTGCCCCTTCACAGGTCTTGCACTTCCGAAACGACAAAAATTTAGTTTGGGCGACCTCCTTGAAATCGGACGTCACCTTCCGCCCACACGCAAAAACTCCGGTCGAACTGCCTTGTGCGCAAAGATGAACGACCTGTGTCCTAACATGTTTGTACATGACATATCCAGGTTCCCAACTTGGCTTGGGACGGGCGACTGCACACGCCATCTCGTCGTTGTCCAAGTCGGGGTGGTCCCTGCCTGCAACGACTTCGTCCTGCGAGCTACTGCTGTCCGAAGAGGACAGCTCATGGTCAGTGGGTGCTGCAACCTGATCTTCATCACTCTTCTCTCCGGCGGATGCTACACCAATGGCCTCAAAAGAACCTTCTGAAGCGAAGCTGGTCAACCCGGGATCAGGCACTTCATCATCAGAGACCTCCACCTTCGGAACCTGTGCAGTGCCTCGCACGCGACCCGAGCGCGTAAGGTCCGGGAAGAATGTTCCGTTTCTGATTGCAGCCAACATTTCATCATAGCGCCTGAGGGCAGGCGCCAAGTAATCTCGGCCATAGGTGTGCAATGTTCCTTCGCCAGTGGCATGGTGTCCAAGTTGTAACCGGGAATACTTATCGAAACCAAACTTACAGGCCCAGGTCAGTGTAGTGCTTTTCAAGCTGTGACCTGTGATCCCTTGGGATGGCTGCCCTCCCTTATCAAGAATCTTGCAGAGCCAAGCCCCAGCTTCGGAGGTGGTCACCGACCTGGACAACCATCCTCCGGTAACGTCCGGAGCGGGCAGCAAAGGCCCCTCAGGCCGACCTACGAACCCCAAACCTACTGCAGAAGCAACCTTGCTGAATGTAACAGCCCAGCTCACCTTACCTAAGCCGACAGCCGGTGCAACAAGGGGCATGGCAAGACCAATGGCCGCGACGTCCTTCTCAGTCTTGTGACTGCGAGTGCTGCACTCAAGGAAACCTTGCCCGTGGCTTTGCAAACAATCAAAATCCAAAATCCAATCCTTGACCTTTCTGAGATCACTAATGCGACTACGGCTGAACAAACCGAAGAGCATGCATCCTGCAGCGTAACGGTCGACTAAATCTTCATCCTCGTCGCTCAAGAAAGCCTCAAGGTAAAGAACGCTGTCAGTGGTTAGGACAGCGCTCTGCCTCCTCTCTGCTTTCTTCTGTATCTCCAGCGCAACAGCCCCACGAGCCCAAGGACTGAACAACTGCTTTCCTGAGAAAGGGTTCCTCAGAGATCCGTCACAATCGAAAGGCAAGCCAACGACATGCACTGAGAAATTGACAGCTTCAGTAAAGCTTGTGAAAGATCCAGGTCGGACCTTAGCTTCCTGTAGTTGCTCGATGTAATCATCGACACGCTTTGAAGTGATAGGCAGGGCACACTCGCCTGGGCAAGCTTTGTGTACCCACACAACGAACTTCTGCATTGCACTCCCACGCTTTGCGACGGTACTGGATGCTTTCTTCCCGAAGAGTTCACGAAGGCACTTCATGGCATCAGCTCCGTTTTTGCGGCTAATCCGTGATCCTATCGCAGAACAGCTGGAGTCCTCCATGATCACGAATAGCCACATTTCTAAAGCTCTGGTCCATTTGACTTCTTCAAGCGCAGCGTCAGTTTCCACAAGGTTGAAATTGACAACATCCCGAAAGCAGGCTCCCAGGGTGACGCTTGCTCTGGCCTTCTTTGCACGATGCGCACAGTCGCGCGAAGAGGATGCCTCTTCAACAGATTCCCTGACAGGAAAAGGCACCGCCTGTGGTAAAATGGCATCACTGGCTTTTGGAAGCACACTTGCACGAGAACCAAAAACCAGCTCAAGTCCCGGAAGTTCCCAAGGAAGCTTTGTGTCAATCACGCAACGCCCTAAACCTAACCCTGCGTCTTGTATGGCAACTGACATCCGCAAGGAAGCCTCATGAGAAAGCTTCTCCACACTGGCCTCCTGGACATCATCTTCCAGAAGATCAATGTCTTCCGGGAGGGCCATGCTAGTGGCCTCAGTTTCCTCCTGACAAGACTTGTCACACAGCTCCATCAGTCTAGTGCTCGAGAACGACGTCAGTCGTCTCACTCCGATACAAGCCTTCACAAGAAGCTATGCGATTCTGCAGAAGGCAGCTGCTAATGGACAGTAGCCGGCACAGACCTCAAGTCTATCCGCTCTGTAAAGCACGTCACTTAGAGCTTCAAGCACACGCTCTTCAAGGTCATGTAGCAGCTCACGGACTGCTCACTCGCTCAGTGGCTGAGCCCCGGCACCATCCATACACTACCCCCAGACGAAAAATTCTACAAAACTTTGGGTGTCCCACCCACCTCTCCCTTGAGCAGAAATGTTTCGTGAGAAACACTCTTAACATAGCTCACATGAGACAGTCACACACATGCCCTAATTTATTTCGAAAGCGAAATAAATTTGTTTTGCAGGGAAAATAAAAACTCATCCGTGCACGCGCGGAGATAGTTCTGACAGGCGTAAACCACCACGGGAAAACAGACACAACACGAGAGCGACGCCGGGCACACCGTACCCCGGAGGGGAGGCCTCCCTCAACTAAAAGCCACGTGTCGTGGCGTCCGGCAGAGCCCCCATCGGAGCAACAGGTCCTAACCCGAAAGCAACCCTAACCGCCCACGCCCTTCAACAAAGCGCAGGGCCAACGCTTCCCCTCAACAAGGCGCAGGGACGACGCTGCCCCTCATCTTCCTAAGAGGTGGCGCGGGGCCCACGTGCCTGCAGACGAATTAGGGCTGCATTGGGCCAGGGGGCCTGCGGAGCCTAAAGAGGTCAACCAGGCGGACATCCCTGATACCGAGCACAGTGCAGTGCAAAGCACCAGGGAGCGCTGTACAAAAGCTAACTGCCGAAGAAAACGCCAACCTCCAGAAGGAGGCCAGGGAGTGGGAGGCAACACGTCCCTAATAGCCTGGATAGCAGCAGTAGCTTCATCGCCGCGGTGTGTCGTAGGCAGGACACAGGGCGGTGACGCCATAAAGGGACTGCAGGGGGAGCACACACACACAGACCTAGGCGTATTAACAAAGAACCCTCCTAAAGGCCATCGCCTAAGGGATAGGCAGATAGACCTCGAAAGTGCCTGAGGAGGGGTTCCTCCTTGCCGTAACTCAATCCTCATTGCCAGGGCGGCCGAGGAGAAAAAACTGAAACAGAACCAAAGAAAACCGGTGTGAGACTGCGCACGTGCTGGGACCCTAAAAGGGCGGGCAGAGGGCAGCGACTGCCGCAGGCAGCGCCCGAGCCCTTAAGCAGTGCACAGAAGCAGTGTGGGCTTCGAAGCACTCGTCTGTACCGGCTCCTCCTGTCAGTTTCGCAGGGTCCGAGCAGCTGAAAGGGAGGGGCGCGGCCTCCAGGCCCTCAGGCACCACCAGCTACTGTCCAGGAAGGGGACGAAAAGGGTCTGCCACCTTAAAGAGCCCTAAACCCTGCACGGCAGAAGGACAGATGCGGCTCACGGCGCTTGGGAGTGGCAGTCACGTCCCAGAAGCGCACCTGTGAAGGAGTGATAGCCCACTTCCTTCCTGTCTTCAGGCCGGTCCTGGTGGAGGGCGAGCCCGATCCACTACGGCCACGCGAAAAGCAAGGGGTGGGAGCCACACCCAAGTCAGGGGCGCTATGGCTCAGAGAGAAGGCTAAAACTGGGATTGTGGGGGCCTCGAACCTTGTCGAAAAGCAAGTTGAGAGCCCCAGGCCCGTTAGTTAAAACACGCAACTCTCTACGGCCACAAAGTGTGGCACTAGAGCTAGCTTGAGCCGATACTTGAGCCATTCCTTTTCCTTTTGGTCTTCCTCTACCACCTTTTCCTCTTCCGTATCCATATCCTTTGCCCTTTCCTTTGTCTTTTCCTTTTCCGTAAGGGCTTCCTTTTCCTCCTTTGTCACCTTTTCCTTTTCCATCTCCTTTACCTTTCCTCATGTGCAATCTATCGAGTTCCATTGGAATTGGTCCTTGATAAGTCTTATTGCTTGAGTGTGACGCTGGGTCTGGAACACTCAATGATCCTAAGATGTTCTCAGCTGACCATGTCTGATTGCTTCTTTCATATTGTAGCAGCTTTGCTCTTAACTCTTCATACGTGGTCTTATCAGTGATATCAACCATCACATGCTGCTTGAGGTGCTGTGGAATTCCTTTCAGCAGTGTACCGATCTTCAAGTTGTCATCATACTTCTGCCCTAAGAGTTTTTCGTACTCTGCTGTGAGCTTCTCGTATGTCAGGACGTAGTCCATCAGCGATGCTCCTTTGCTCATGGCTGGGAATCCAACCAATGCTTGTGCCATTGCTAGACTCCTTGAACGAGATGTCGGCTCTAATTCAGCCGTCAACTTTCTCCACACTTCAAATCCATTCATCCCGCTCACACTTCTCAGCACTTTCAGAGGTCTGTTCTCAAGTAACTGCTTAACACTGAGTAAAGCTTCGTTCCTCTGTTCACTCTTGCTTGATCACTGTCAAATAATGTATTTGTGACGTCTGATGTTATCACGGCTTTTTCTTCTTCTGCCGCTTTCAAGTCCTTCAGGAATTCTTGGTCCATGAACGCTAAGAAATTCTTGAACGTAAACGACCAGTCACTCCATTGTGACACTTCTTAGTCTTCTTCAATCGTCGCAGGATTGAACGCATCTGGTGGCTTGAGGATCTTGCCTCCAGTATCAAAACTTACTGAGGCTGGTTGGCTGCCTGAGGGGGCTGTCTTCGGTGATGCTTGGGCTTTCGCCAGTGCATCCATTGCTGTTGCCAATTGCGCTTGTTGCATTGCTGTTCCTTGCGCAACTCTTGCCACAGCTTCTGTAGCTTGGCCTAACGTAGTCATCAGCTGTTCCAGCCTTACCTGCTGAGGGTTCGGTGGCTGCTGTGCTTGTTGAGCTTGTTGGTGCTCCTGCATCTTTCCAACACTTTGGCAGGTCCTTGTGTATCTGGCTCAAGGTCTTTCACTTTCACGCTTTTCTCCGAATTTGCAAGGTGCTCTTGGCTTAGCCGTAACTCCTCGCTGTTCTCCGGCAGGATGCTCTTGGTAAACCGTAACTTCCTGCTTCACACTTTTCAACTTTTCCAGCTCGTAGCTGGCTTCCCTGGATCTTTGCTTGATCAGCTGCTGGCCTTTGCCAACAGCTCCGCTACCATGAAAGTTTAAACCCTTATACCAGTATACTTCTTATAACCACGGCGCGAGCTTGGATTCTTTTCTCACTCCGTGCTCCGCTGTCGGGCTGTCTTGAGCCTACGTTTGACCTGCGGTGAAACACTGGATTCCTGTATGTAAATGGGCATGAGGGAAAAGAGACCGAAGAGCAGCAAAATGCCCACCCCCCCCGCACGAAGGCGGTACAAGGTGCTGGCCGCACGAAGGCTTCCAATTCACTGCCACAGTCTCTCTCCCACATTTTCCCCATCACCAGATGGCATCGCACCTTGACACAGATCCATGAAGGACCGCTTGCTGAGCAGCCCGTTCACGAAGTCGTCGTCCAAGGTCAAAGGAGGCTCAAGGGATCCACCGAGCTCCTCAGCAGCTTCCCGCGCTTGCGGGTTCGATTCTGAAGCCACACGAGTGAACCACAGCGTGAAATGGAACCACCGCGCCACCCAGGCAATCATCGAGAGCATAACGAAGTGGTCAGGCAATGGAGAAGAACCCTTGATCAAGGAATCGCGCACCCCATTGTTATCAATGAGAACCAAGATGCGCCTGCCAGCCAACTCAGGGCCCCAACGACTCGGCGACACCAGCACTGGAAATAGCTCCAGCTGCGAGATGAGCTGAGTGCTGCCATGCCTACCCCAGTGGTCAAAGAGGCATCCCGGAACAGTCACCTCCGCCACCTTAGGTCCCTCGTCCGGGGAGTACTGGAGCACCGCCCCTGCACCCGCGATCCTGTTGTCCCATGCACCGTCGGTAAAGAGCTTGATGGCAAACCGCGAATCCAGAGCATGTATCACCCTCGGAGAGTCTGTGGCGAAGCAAGCTGCGATGTAGCCAATCACGAGCTTGAAACCGTCGGACATGGCGTCATCCCAGCCGTTAGCCGCCACCTGCGACAAGAACTTAAGCGCCGGCTTAATGGGACAACCGTGAAGCTGGCCCTGAGCGAAGTTCAGACGCCCATGCAAGGATGATGCCTCAGACCTCCGCATGTAGCCCTGCGACAAGAGCCTGTCAAGCTCCGCACGCAGCTCCACGACACGATCAGGCTTGTTGCGTACCTTCAGGATGCCCTGATCCGCCGTTGTCAGCGAAAGCTCAATCCCCAGCAGAGTGAAGGTCTGGGAGAACGGCTGATTCTTTTTCGGTTGCAGAGCCACATTCCATCCCAGGCGAGTGGATAAGAGCCCCACCATGAAGTCTTGAGCTGAACCCGCCGAGGCCGATGGCTCTGCGCAAGGAAAGTCATCGAAGTACACAGTGCAGCAAACTGAACCCATCGTCACCGCAAGATGCCACAGGGAGGCCGAGCAGCGATTGAAGGAGAAGACCGCCGAAGTCGCTCCAAACATTAGAGCAGTAGACACAAAGAAGGCCGGCGAGCGGCGCTCGGGACTAAGACTCTGTTGAACTTCGTGTCGGGCCTGCAGCCCAGCTGGTAAGCTGAGGAGAGATCTAGAGTCTTGCCAAGGAGATCCAGGCCATCGCCCCAATCAGGGTGTCTCTTCACGGCGAGCTGTTCCCCCGAATCGAGCTGAATCCTGCTGCCGGGCTGATGCGAGCATCGGATAATCAAGAGAACCAGGGAGATAAAGGCATCAGCGTCCATCAACCTGAGCTTGTTGTATGTCGCATAGGCAGAGTTCAGACCGCTCTGAAGACAGTCATCTATGATGCGGACCTTCGGACCCTGGACGATAGGGAATCTCCTGGTGCACATCCATTCAGCGCTGCCGAGCCTCTCACTGACTTCACTCTCATCCCAAAGGGCCCACCGATCCAGCCTTGCTCGACTTCACCAAGAGTTTGCGACCACAGTT